GCCCTTTGCCCAGCTTGCTCACACTGAAAGCTGTTTCTGCAGAGCTTCTTCTCAGGCTATTTTCTGGGAGATGTGTCAAAGCCACCTGAACTTCTTTATGCAAATCTGTGGGCATTCTGTTAGTGTAGGTAATGTGATTGCATTAGATGTTTATCCAGAGAGTTAAATGGTTTTATTAATTTATAGCTGGCTTAAAGTAAGATAAAACACATATACGTTTGTTTTTTTTTTTTTTTTAAAGATCTCTTTCATCTGAATAATTTGTTCAGGAAAAAAAGGAGTTAGGATGCTCTTTGTAGAGTTTTCCCCAAATTAGATTATTAGAACTTTGTGAATTCAAAGAAACCAGAAGCAATGTCTGAATAAGATTTAGGAATAAAGAACTCTACATATTTAAAAACACTCTCATTAACTTGAGATATATAGGACTAATGTGGATGAAAATCAGTATAAATGTGAAGCTTAGAAAATAAATGAAATTATTAGTTGAGGTGATGTTTGGGTATGTTTTTGGGGAGGGTTTCTATAATATTAAAAACCAAAAATATTGGGGGACATTCAAGAAAGATCTATGCTTGGAATATATGTAGCAAAGTATCTGATCCTTGAAGAGGTGACCAAGTAGGGTGGCTCTGTTCTGTGGAATGGACTTGACACTGTCATGTTAGCAGATGTCCTGCCCCTTATCCATAGGGCCTGCAGGCCTTAGTTTGGGGGATTTGTCAGTTTAGCCCAGAACATATTTGACCAGTTCCGAGTCAGTTGCATTCTGAAGCCTCTTAAAAGTCTGGGATCCTGTTTCCTGAGGTTTGGGCTCCTTTTGTCAATCTCCAGTGATAGGGAACAGATTCAAGTGGTGGGAACATAAGGTTAAGGGAACTGTAATCTGGGCCCACTGTGGTGACCCACACATTCATTCATTCTTTCATTCTTTCTTTCTTTCTTTCTTTCTTTTTTCTTTCTTCCTTTCTCTTTTAAAAGGCAATTTATTTGCAGCACTGCCTGGCTTAAGTCCACAGGACATATTACATTTCTCTGTGATCGACCTGTTATCTGCAATGTTGCAAAGGCCTGAAATGTTGATAAGAAGAACACAAGTTACAGTGAACAGGGGGACTGTTGTGACCCTTACATAGACTAGATCCCAGAACTCAGGGAGATAAGGATAATTCCCTCTAGCCACAAAATCTGTAAGAACAGGTTCCAATTAGAACTGGTTAACATAGGCCAAAGTGACCCAGAATTGTTGTGGGCAGTAGAGACTCAGAAGTCTGATGTCATCCTTCTCCTGTTAGTCAAAAGTCAAAAAGTGAACCTGAGTGGGACTCTCTAGAAACCTCCCTGGGACCCCCAATAAAACTGGAGGGCAGGAGGGTCATGTCGTCCTTTTCTCCAAGAGGACTCACTCTCTCCTTTGGGAGTGCCCACTTTCCCCTTTCTTATCCCTTCTAATAAACTCATGCCCGTTACTCTGAGCAACTTGTCTGAAATCTTCCTGGCATGATTGCAAGAATCAGCGTTTTGAAGAAGGGGCCTCTGAGGCTGCCTCAGTTTTGTGGCAGACCTCTGCCCTGTAACACCCGGGAACCCAGAAGCCAGATGCCCAGTCAAGGTGTGCCTCCTCCTCAGAGTTAACTACTGCAGAGAAGCAACCATGCTCTGAGGATTCTTGGGGCTCTCAAGAGCATTCATTATGATGCCTTCTAAAGGGGCATGGGTGTAGCTCTGGAAGACAGAGGTTCAAGCCCCAGTTTTATTAGATGAGACCTTACTCTCTCTCTAGCTCCATTTCTCAGTCTGAAAAATGAGGTGAATAATAGGTATCCAGGCTCTGATTCTCGTAAGAGTAAAATGTGATCCTACAAGGAAACAGTTGGTTGGCTACAAATGTAAGAAGTTATTTAACTTTCAGTACATGGAATAGAAAAATAATTTGTGAGATTATAATAAACCTTTGACTAAACAGAGGTGTCACCAAACAGCTCTTCATGGGAACACTCAATTAGCAATAATGTTTCCTAACACCTGCTGCATATTAGAATCACCTGGGAGCATTTTTTAAAAAATATCAAGTAATATCAGGCTAATTGAGTTAGACTGGCTGTGGATGGGGCCAAGGCAACCCAAAAGCTTCCCTTAAAGTACAATCAGGTTCCTCACTGGCATTCCCATGTTAACTTTATTTTATTTTATTTTTGTTACAGTGCTCAACCACCAAACACCCTAAAAGTGTTCTCTTAGAGGATGCTATATTATGCTTGTAAATAAATAACAGTGATTTTAGAACTCAAAAATGTGGGGTGGTGATACACATATTGGGACTACATTTTTTGTAACTCAAAGTTGTAGAAATATTACAAGCCCCCCCCCCTTTTCTTTTTTTCTTTTTAATTGAAAATTTCCTTTAGAATTTCTAAGAGAAATTGCAGTTCTCGGATCCCTGAGAGATATAACATAAGAGCAGCATTACCTTTTGAGTCTTTAGAGATTTCATTCATCCTGGGGCATGAAGCTTTTTTTTTTTTTTTTCCCCTTTACAAGCAGGCATTGAAACTGCTTCTGAGAGGTGCTATTTATTGAATTTTCTTGTAACTAAATGGGTCTGTGCTAGCTCTGACCTAGAAGTCACTGATTACATGGGCGAGAAGTGTTTGTTCCGAGGTGAGAATGAACAAACTAATTCCTGCCTGTTTAATCAGTGGCTTGAATCTTCTGCTGCTTCTGCCCAAGTCTCGAGCTTCATGATAACCTCCCCATTTGCCCATCTGTGAATGTTTGGGATGTGAAAGGGGTTGTCATACTCAAATGATGTCCCAGGCCAACAGCACCACCTCACCTGTTAGAAATGCAAATTCTCAGGTCCCACCTCAGATCTGGATCAGAAACTCTGGGCTGGCCCTGCAATCTGTTTTCCATCATCCTCCCTGAGGTGGTCATACACACTCAAGTTTGAAAACCACTGAGCAGGGACAAAGGATCTTTCCTTGTTTGTCTAGATAATAAGGGTGTTTGCAGAGAAAAATCACGAAACTGGCACTTGCAGGCATATGCCATACTTAGCTCTGCTTCATTCGGCACTCCTTCCTTTCTCCTCTGATGGTGAGGCAGATCAGTGCTAGAGGGAAAATGAGAGGGTAGCTTTAAGTCTCCAAGGTTCCTATTCCAATCTTTTAAGAGCTAGTAATCAGGTTAAAAGAAGCTTTATGTATTTATGAATGTGTAACAATATACACAATGGATAAAGATACAATCCTGTATATATAAATGTATAGTAATGTATACATATGAGAGAACACATAAAGATACATTTATACAAATTGCATAAATTCATACAGAATGAAGATACACTATATCTATGTAAATGTATAAAAAATATATACAATGTATAAATATACACGGTGTTCATGGTGTATTTAAATGTATGAAAATATTCAGTGTGTGTATGTTTAAAATCATGATCTCCATTGTGAATGCTGAGGAGCTCAAACCAGGAAATTCCAGACACTGGGGGACTATGGGGAATCCAAAGATCTTGAGAGGGGACTTGGGAGGCTGGAGGTGAACAGCAGAAAGAAGCCAACTGTATTGTTCAATTCAAAAGGATTGGCCTATAGAATGCCCTGCAAATGGTTTCTCCAGGGCTGTGCAGTGTCCTGAATCTAGGGCAGGGCAGAAGATGACTTTAGATAAACCCTAGGATTCCTTTCACAAAGTTACCACACAATGATTTTAGGACTTTCAAATAGGTAAGTGAAGACAGCTGAGTTGTGTCCTCGAGTGGTCATTAAAAACAGAATAGGTTTCTCCTGTCTCTGGGAGGGGAAGGTCCTGAAGGTACAGAAAGGAATAAATGTTATCTCCATTACCCTTCCAGCTTATAACAATTGAAGCTGTATTATTGTATCTATTTGAATCCATCTGTCTACATTTATCTGTTTGCCTATCTGTCTAATCTATTCAAAGCCCTCCTACCCAGACACTCAAAAAACTGAAGCTCTATATGGTCTATCCTTTAAACATCGTAACTGGGGCTAGCATGAATGGTTATCCTAGTAACAGAAGTTAGGAATCTCTCTAGCATTTCTAGTATCTATATATCTGAATTTACTGGGCACTCAGCTAAGTGCCTACCTGCATTATCTCATTTAATCTTCTTAACCACCTGATGATCGAAGGGCTGTTAATATCCTAGTTTATGAAGGATTTGAACCGTGTGAAAGCCTGGGCTCTCATCCACTCCACCTTATTAGATCCCATGATGGCACATTTAATGCTAGCTAATGTCTGGCTTCAGGTGGGCATGTGTTACCTATTGGTGCCTTCATTCTGAGGGCTCAAATTGAGATGTGCAATTACCTAAACTCTTTATGCACTCGTGTTCATTTGTTTTCTGGCTTATGCTTCTAGACCTCTATTTGGAGCAATATTTAGAGTTAATTATTGGTACTCTAAAAGCTCTTAGACTTCCATAAAGTACTTTAAATACACTGTGACTTTAAAATAAAAAAATTAACCACTGGGAGCCAGGCATCATTCTCTTTCCTGTGGGCTGAGCTTCAGCATTGTAACAGGAATTCACTAATGAAACAGACATAAATAGAGCCTCCCTGAGGATTTAGGAGGGTCATATATTCCGTGTAATTGTGACGTTCCTAGTTAACTTCATCTCCATTTGTGTACCTGCTACAAGTTTTTAATTATGCTCAATTATTTTGTGTTTTATAATTTACATTGTCTTCTATTTCCTCCTATTGTCCAAAGGGTTTTGTTGGATGGTGTGCATGGTTGACTTTTTAAGCACAATGACATCCAATTCTTTAGGGGTGAACCTCCTTTGATAGCTAATGAGATAATCCAGAAATTTCACTGTCTCTGCACTTATGGCATCTTTTGAAGGAAAAGAGGGTTCATTGATCACATATCTAACACTCCTGAATTGTCCTACTGTTTTACAGAAAGAATAAGCTTATAAATTAAACCCTTTTTCCTTTTTCTTTCAGGAGTTACAACATATCGTTGGGTCACAACACATCCGAGCAGAGAAAGGTAATCATGAATCTGTGATTATTTGATATCCCATGGGGTCACTAGCCTTGGGTTAATGTGCTTTCTCTCATCTCCAGCTATGATGGAAGGTTCCTGGTTTGATCTGGCCAAGAGGGGCAAGCCTGAAACTCAACCTTTTGCTCATCTCACTATTAATGCCACCAATATCCCATCAGGTAAGTTTTAATTATATCTATTTTAATTATAAAACTATCTCGAGAATCACTTACCATTCCATTCACATAATCAAAAATATTGTTAGCCTGTTACTGAAATTTTCAAGAGCGGAAAAAAAAAAAGCATTAGTCTTCAGTTGATCTTCAGTTGATTATAATGGACATTATAATTTCCCAGAAAGACCAGAGGATGAGGACAAATGAAGTCTCCTACTTCTTCCCTTGTAGAAGCAGGAGAGGAGGATTCCTTGATCTTTAAATGGCAGCTGCCATATGTTCACACCTGGGCCAGGTGACCCCAAAGCAAACATGGTGTGGCAGAACCACTGTATCCTGTGCTGCTGCCAGTACCCAGGTCTTCCCTCTGTGCCATCAGAGACAGCCTTGGCCACCTGATGTCTATAGGCAGGGCCTTTGGGGCCAGTCATATGGGATTCCAAGTCCCCACAGCAGGAGAGAAGAGGATCTGCTTTTATGTGTGTGTGTGTTTGTGTGTGGGCGGGGCGGTCAATGACTGACCCTGCTGCCTGTGTTAACCCAGAGTTTTCATTCAAGAAAAGTCCTAAGCCAGGGATTCTAAGGTATTGAGTGAGATCATCACCAAGGGCTGTCATTCTGAGACTTGTGAGAAAGGTCTGGCCATGCAATGGCTCTCTCCCCTCTGGCCTTGACTTCCAGCTAATAGAGAATCTCTGAGTATCACCACACCCCAGGGTTCCTGCTCTTCCTAATCCCCACAGCAGCACTTCTCATTCTGGAGCAGCAGACTTCATTTTCAGGTCATCAGACTACCTGTTTATTTCAAATGACTGCTGGTTGAGAACACATCATTGGGAAGGACAATCCCTTGATATACTCATCTGTTTTTACCCACACTAAAGGTAACAAAGCCCCATTGCTGACCTCTGAGGTGGATGAGTTCCTCCAGGTAATTAACTACTCAGCCATTTGCTGTAGAGATCCACGGAGGAGCTCAACAGCATGGTCTTTAAGAGACACTAGTCCTCTGGAAAATGAGACATTCTCCCCCTTCTTCAGAGACCAGTCATTTCCTCTGGGTAGGGTTTAGCTCAATGGCCTGGAGACCTGATTACCCTTTGAAAGTGAGAAAACCCAGGGCTTTGTGCTTGTAGCTACCTTAATGCCCTGGGCATTCCATCATCCTACCTACTGCTCACTCACCTTGGGCTAGGTAAGGATCAAAAGGTGACAAGAAGCATTAGATAGAGTGATAATTGAATACCATTGTTAATTATTATGATGCCACTTATTGAACACTTATTGAATATGTCTGATCCACTTATGGATCAGACGTTTGGGTCTGTGTTCATTGTCTGTAGTCCTTACTCTAATATTGAGGCACAGTGACTGCGATGCAGAATTTGCAGAGAGGGAAACAGAGGTTTATATAGTTTGTCATTTGCTCAAGGTCACAGAGGTAGGAGGATTAGAAGTTGAGTTCCACTCAGTTAATCCCTAAATCTGTTTTTTATGCTATACATTATCCTATAAGCAGACTACATAGTACTTGTAGCAAGTTGGCTTTGTCCCAGGAAAATAAAGCCCTTAAGTTCTCTTTTCCTATAAGAATTAGATTAGTGGAGTATCTCATGACAGGGACTCTAAAATCTGACTGCCACTGGCCTGCTTACTGGACCCATGACCATGCACAATTTATTAGACTCTGCCTTGGCTTTGCCATGTCTAAAGTGGGCATAGATATTGCTTGCTTCATGGGGTAGCTGTGAAGATTGTGGCATATGGAAAGCATTCCATGATTGGGATTTTTTATTTTATTTGAGTTTATTTAAATAATTATAACTATTCCACTTGGTTGTACAAATGACTTAAGACAAGTTTTTTTTTTAATTAAGTTTTTAAAAGTACCAGATTTTAGTAAGTGATTTTGAAGCCATTATAGCATGGACCATGGAGGGCTATTTCTTGATTGGAGACATTAGAAAGTAAGAAACTAACACTTGGGTTTTTAGAGGATTTTCTATTCTACCTATTCCTGTCCCAGATATTTGCTCCATAAACAAATTTTGTCTCTTTGTCTGTGTGTCCTTTATGATGGAGCTACACTAATTTTTCCTGAGTGGAAACTATTTTGCACATTAGCAAAGGCAATCAAATTAATACTTATGTATCAGCCATATGTGCTATGAATGTACCCTACACTTATCTTTTCAGTTCATTTAAATGGCATATGATAAATATTACATTAGACTGTGTGCCAAAGTTGGTTTGGCAATAGCAAGCATGTTTTAGTTGCAAAGCTCTCTCTCTCTCTGCAGGGACCTAGAATCAAACCATTGCCAAAATAACAAGAAAGAACTCCTGGTTATTTTCTGACAGTTATTGGATTTGTGACTAGGGAAATGTGTCAGTATATGCTTCTGCGTAAGAAAATAGAATTTGTTGCTCTGGTGGGTCAACAACCCCTTAAGTTCATTGATCTCCAGGTGTTGGCCAAAGCAAGATGGTTTAATTTTGCATTTTAATGGCTTTTTTTTCACATTTATTTACATATATGAAATTAGGATCTGCCTTACAAGGTCTGTGCATTTTCAAAGCTTCTTGCATAAGACACATTGGGAAGTATTTTGTGGGGTCAGAATATGTAGATTTCTTTAGGGTGCTCAGGCTAACTATTTGCAGAAGTCCTGACCATAGCATAGGGCTGAAGTAGCTGGGGAGCCTGGGGTAGGAGGCTACTAGCACACCTCATGGGTGTTGGAAACCCAGGGTGATATGGAGTCCCTCCAATCAAATCACAGCATATTTTTCTCATGTGTTTTCCCCACTGTTGTCTACATGTGAGCTCTCTCTTCTTAATATCTAGCTTCCCTGACTTTCTTCTGTTGATGCTGTGAACACTCAAACACTTTTCCTCACCAATATACTCCCTTTTCTCAGTCCAGATTTGACCCAAATCCTCCCTGTTGTCTAGCCCTTCTGTCTCTCATTGAGCTCAGCTTTCCCAATCATTGTGAATTGCTGCAGCTTTTCCTTGGAAATTTCTTGTCACTGAATGTCAACCTTGTGCTTTGCAACAGTAGAAATGAAAATGTCGTGTTTTGTATGCTCATTTTTTATTTTCTCTATGATTAGTCATGTCATGATGGTGTACGACTTGATATAATTCTTAATTATGGACAGAATGAATGTCTATAGAAAGCACCACACTGTTATTTCATGACAGATCAACAGAATGAATCTGTGAATACATGAGTCAGTGGATGGATAAAAACAGAGATGTTTCATAGAAAAGAACAATGTATTCTACTTGAATTCCCTAATCATAAGAGTGGTATAATGTTAAAGTTCTTATTTCAGATTTCTTCCTTGCCTTCTCTGGCCATATCCCACTCTAACATGAACTAGTCCCTTCCATTGAATGGATAGACTTCATGTCAGTATTCTGCTTCTCTCTGTTAAGAGATATAAGATAATTAATTGAAGGATTGAATGCAGCACACAAGTAGGAGGCAGTATGGGGTAATTTGAGGTGGGAAACTTTTTTTTTGTCCTGGGGAGTGAATCCAGGGGGGCTTAATCACATAGCCACATCCCCAGCTCCCCCTCTTTTGTATTTTATTTAGAGGCAGGGTCTTACTGAGTTACCTAGGACCTTGCTGAGTCACTGAGGCTAGCTTTGAACTTGAGATCCTCCTGCCTCAGCTTCCCAAGCTTTAGGGATCATAAGCATGTGCCACCATGCCTGGCTTGAAGTGGGAAACATCTTTCATTAACTCTGTCCATGAATTAGGCAGCTATTTACCAGCCTGGAGGAATTGCTTCACTAGTGTTTATGACAATGTGGTGAATACGGTTCTATTGTCTCATGTTGACTCCCTTGGGACTGTAGGATGATATGTACATTTGGAGTAAACCATGAAATAAGACCTCCTATGTAAAAAGAAGGTAGCTTGCTGTGGAGAACCCTTGAAGCCACAGTGACTGTGGTGGCCCCTCTGTGGATAGCTCCAGAGCTCAGGAACGCTTCTGTTTCTGCATCGGGGAATTGGAATCACTGGGTTCTTGGTCTTCTAATGATGGGTTGCCCCACTGTAGACTGGCCAAGTCATATTTTTTCCCCTCCATTTATCCTACTTCCTGCTTGGCCTTTGGAATAGTCTGCTTTTGAGGCTCCAAGCTATACCCCAGAGAGAGTAGAATGTTCCCCAACTTGTGGCTCTCTTGGGGAAGGTGCATGAGATGTTCAGTGTTCTCCAGGTCTCAGGCAAGTCTGGGAAAGTACCATGAGTGGGTGTCTTAGTCTACAGGGATCTCTTAGAATCCACCTAACCAGAAGATCCACTAAGACCCTGGGCCAATTTCTTTACCTCACTGTCTCAAGACCTGACTTAAGTTGTTGGGCAGTCATAACAAATAGCCAAGAACTCAGAGCTGCAGAAACTAATCCCAACCCATCTGAGACTCAGCTCTGTTTTGACTTTTGATGTCAGAGAGATGATGACCTTCAGTTAGCCTAAGTATGTACCAAATTCCCTGAAGTAAAATAAAAATCTTTCTAGACTTTCTATAGTGTTTCTACTTAGTGTCTCATTAGTTATCATCTTTTCCAGTAGAATAATAAGTATCCACATAAATATAAATCTTTGATTAATTAATTACATCATATAGGTATTACCAAATTTTAAAGCCATTAAAAATACATTAGAGACTTGTAATATGAAAAAAAAAAAAAAGCACTGGACTTGCTCCTGATTTAGAATATTCTTTGGAAATTCTTCACTGCTCTGGTAAAAGCATGAGGATTAGTTGTCACCTCATTCCAGGAATGAGGAGGGACTAAAGGAACATTTGGTCACTGGGGAGAAATTTTACTATACTTTGGTCACAATGGATTATGAAGTGTTTTTTTTTTTCCAGCTGCTCTGAGAATAGCTTTTTAGTTGTGTGAGCCTGAGAGACATATGGGCTTTTAGAGGTGGGGAAAATAAATGGTGATAAGAATAGATTTTAGGAGTTTGGCCATTTGCTCAAAGTTACTGTGACCCAGATTTTCATCTCCTACATATCCCTCTCCATAGAATAAAAGAAAAGGCAGAAACATGTGAGGTAGGAGGATTCTCCTCTGCTAGCTTCTTGCTTTGCTGTGGTGGTTGGCTTTCTAATCCTTTTCCTTCAATCTGGAATGACCTGTCTGCTCTTGTCTGTGGAGCTGAATCCTATTCCTCTTTTTAAGTTCCCAGGCTCAGTTAGCAACAACACAAAGTCAGTTTTGATCCCTCTAGGTGGAAATAATCTCTCTCCCTATTGAATTCCCGAAGCAATTATCTGTACCTCTCCTTTTAGTTCAGACTTGCTTCTTGTCTGAGCCCATTCTATACTTAACTCTAATGTACTGAAGCTTCCTTGAGGCAGGAAAAGTGAGATTTTTGGCCTTTGTACCCTCTAATGTGCCTACCAAAGAGCACTAAATACATCTGAATTTATTTCTCCCTGTATAGAAAAATAAATTCCAAGAAGTTATTCTCCCCTAGGAACAATGACAGTTAAGCTGTTTTCTGCTCTGACTTCATGGAATTGTGAGACTGTCTTTCTCATTCCAGGAGTGGATTGTAAATCAGGTGTCTCTCTCTCCACAGGTTCCCACAAAGTGAGTCTGTCCTCTTGGTACCATGACCGGGGTTGGGCCAAGATCTCCAATATGACTTTGAGCAATGGAAAACTAATGGTTAACCAAGATGGCTTCTATTACCTGTATGCCAACATTTGCTTTCGACATCATGAAACCTCGGGAGATCTAGCAACCGAGTATCTTCAGCTGATGGTCTATGTCACTAAAACCAGCATCAAAATCCCAAGTTCTCACACCCTGATGAAAGGAGGGAGCACCAAATACTGGTCAGGGAATTCAGAGTTCCATTTTTATTCCATAAATGTTGGAGGATTTTTTAAGCTACGGTCTGGTGAAGAAATAAGCATTGAAGTGTCCAACCCTTCCCTACTGGATCCAGATCAAGATGCAACGTACTTTGGGGCTTTTAAAGTTCGAGATATAGATTAAGACCTATTCTGTGGAGCATTATCACATATTTCGTAGATATTTGGAAACATCACTTAAACAAACCAAGAAATATGTATATAGGTGTATAAGACTACTAAGAGGCATGGCCCACAATGGTACAGACTCATTATCCATGCTCTCAACCCTGTAGACAATATGCATATGTACAGCCAATGGGTGAGCTTGGACTTATGGTAGCGTGTTACACAATGGTTTTACAATTTTGTAATGAATTCCTAGAATTAAACCAGATTGGAGCAAGTATGGTTGCTCTTTGGGCTCCAAGAGGGGTGAGCTCTCTGGATCAAACCCATGATTTATGGGCCACTGTGCACCTCAAGTGGAGAGGGTATCATCTCATTGTAAACAGATGATCTTCTGAAGGGTTAAGTTCTTTTGAATTGTTACATCATGCTGGAACCTGCAAACAATACTTTTTCTAGTGAGGAGAGAAAATATATGTATTTTTATATAATATCTAAAGTTATATTTCAGATGTAATGTTTTCTGTGCAAAGTATTGTAAATTATATTTGTGCTATAGTATTTGATTCGAAATATTTAAAAAATGTCTCACTGTTGACATATTTAATGTTTTAAATGTACAGACATATTTAACTGGTGCACTTTGTAAATCCCTTGGGGAAAACTTGCAGCTAAGGGGGAAAAATACTGTTTCCTGATATCAAATGTAGTATATTTCTTCATTCTTTTTAACTTAATAGATTTTTTTTCAGACTTGTCAAACCTGTGTAAAAAAAAATTAAAATGGATGCCTTGAATAACAAGCATAGGTATGTTGGCTACCAGGTGCCTTTCAAATTTAGAAGCTAATTGACTTTAGAAAGCTGACATTGCCAAAAAGAATACATAATAGGCTACTGAAATCTGTCAAGAGTATTTATATAATTATTGAACAGGTGTCTTTTTCTACAAACGCTGCAAATTGTAATTTTTTTTTAAATAGAAAAGCTACTAGTGGTTTATCAGCGAAGAATAACCCAAGTTTTAAGTTAGTGGGAATTATTTTATACTGTACAATAAAAACATTGCCTTTGAAAGTTAATTTTTTTTTGGTACAAAAATAAATTTATATGAAACCTGCATTGTGATTTTGTATTTCTCTTTTATGTCTGTCTTGCTCTGTGATCCTGTTCTCTCCAATATGATAATGTGGCTCCTATCTTTTTCTGAAGGTTACTGGGAGAAATGCAGATTTAATTAAAAACTAGGAACAGATTCAATTAAATTAATGAACCTTGGAATTTGAAAATTAATTTGCAAGGGATTTGTATGCAAGGATGTAGCCAGATAGAAAACAGTGTTCTTCACTCATAAAGGAAAAGTTTATGTTATGTTTACATCAGGAGAAAAACACATCAGGTGTTTTGTACAAGTTCATAATGTCCTGGAAAAATAACTGTTTGGCCTGGAGGAAAATCTAAATGTTTTCTACTTTCACACAGTAAAGATCAGTGGCCTAGATACTTGTCCTCATGGAAATGTATGTAGGTGGGCTACCTAAACAGGGTGGCTATTCATATGAGAGAGAGAAGAGAAAATGATTCCCTTGGGAAGTCACAATGTTTCTTGATGGTTATGACAGAATAGAAGCTGAGAAGGTAGAGCAGATACTGCAAAATAGAAATCGCAAATTTTAAATAGCAGAGCCATAATGGTGGGACTCACTGATTGGCCGAAATACTCCTATTACTTTAAGACTGTCAGTAAATTTGAGGTAGATGGGTACAAAATATGTTTTCTGTGTTGCATACCCCAATCGCTGCTTCCTGGCTTCAGAAAAAAATTAATTTTGATGAGCTACAATCACAGTTTCTCCACAGTTTCTCTTAGAGGCAACCAACTTGCAATCTCTCAAGGATGAACTAAACCCAAAGTCCAGGAATAGAAAGCACCCAGGATATTCTGGGCACTAGCCAAATGGCTAGCAAGGCAGATGGTCTGCAACACCAATGGAGAGACTGGAGAGTAGACCTTGTGAATTCAGCCAGACTTTATTGTACATTATCACCCGGGTAGGTCAAGGTTTTAGAGCTTTGCTGGAATAATGACTAAAGAAATATTGGTGTGAATTACCCTGTGCCTGGAAGGAGGCAGCTACAGCAATTGGATATGGCAGAAGGTAGGGAAAAGTCTTCTCTTTTCTATCACGTTCATGTCAGGCTCTGAGCAATAGGGTCTCAAATTCAGGAAGAAAAACTCTGATTTTCCCACTCTTTGGCCACTTTTCATTTCTGCTCTTTCTTTTCATTTATTCCTTTTTTCCACATTTACTCTTCTGTGTGTGTTTCAATCCTCCCCACCTCCCTTATGCTTGGCTCTTGACTGGAGGACCAGTTAGTCTCTCTGGTAGCCTTTAGGGTATAAAGAGGCTGCTGCATCTGATTGAGATGGAACTAGATCAAGTCATCACTCAGCCTCAGCTGAGTAAATATATTGAGTTGTGACAAAATCATGCCAGGAAACCAACAAATACCGGCTGCAATGGCGAACTGAATTGTTGCTCATTTTAACTCCTCCATTTCAATCTTAATGCATGTCAAATAAGAAAGAAGAAAAGCAGGCCAAATTCAAAGCCATCTGTCTTCTTGAATCAGTTTTTTATGACTGCACCAGACCCTGCACTGTTGCCTCTTTCCAAAACTCTATGTAAGCAGCAGTTCTTGTGCAGTGTCCTTGCTTTCCCTCTTTCCTTCTGTCTCCTTTATTTCCATGAGGCCATCTGGAAAATGACCATTTCCACGGTGACTTTGGTGGGAAGCTGAGGGTCTCAGACCTCATCTTTTTGTGTGTGTATTTTATTGGCTTGGCTTGGGAGAGTGGCATCAGGCTATACTTGTACATTAGTGGGCACAGCGTTGACTCAACTTGCAAACCTACCATGCCTGTGGAGCCAGCAGAGGCAGGCCACACATGTCCTCACTTTCACTTTGGCTTTATTAATTGATTCTCCAGCTTCCTTGCAATGAAATTGAAATATGTTTCCCAGTAGCTGCATTTATAAATGCTAATTAGTTATTGATTCACATTATGATGATTTAGCCTTGTGTCACTTTTTATAATAAAATGTATACAGTGAGTGTTGGGTTTTATCTATAAAACAGAAAACTACCCTTTTGATTAATAAGATTTTTATGATACTTCTACATTTTTGTAATTTAAAAATTATAGTTTTTAATCATTACCCTCCCCCCCTCTTTTTATGTTGACACATTTTCTTTGCAGAGGCTTGATGCTATTGCATCTTATGTGTATTCTGGATAGTTGTAGGAAAAATCTCTATGATATTATCAGATATGGACAAAGCCAGGAGTGCTGATGTCTAAGGACAGGAGATGGATGCCCCAGCTCAAGCAAAGAATGTGAGTAAGCTCTTCTTATACATTTTTATACTATATATTTTATACTATTTAGATCTTTCAGTGAGTTGGATGATGCCCACCTACATTGGTAAGAATGAGTCAAATGCTAATTTCTTCTGGAAACACCTTCATAAGGCATGTCTGTAAATGATATTTTATCAACTATCTAGGCATCCCTTAGCCCAGTCAAGTTGATCATCATACTGCACTGGGATATCTGAGTCAGTTATGAAGTAGCTTATTTAAGTTTAGAAGGAAAATATCCTAAATAAATAGATGAAAGGAGAAAAGTTTACATGCAACTCCATGAGAAACACAAATAATACATAAGACTTATTGAAAATATCTAAATGAGATATTAAATCATGAAACAGGGATAGGAGTTTAGATGAGTTTAACTGAAGTTCAGGGACACATCTTGAATAGCAGGGGTGAAAAACCCCTAAAGAACATCAGATATGTACAAGGGACAGGTGCAGCACCTTCAATTCCTCTATCTTCTGCATCACGAACACAGGTGATTCACAATCCAAAATGTAAGTCCCATCTAAGTTCAGACCCAGGACAATAGTACAGGAGGGGTAGGGAGTGCCTGGCCCATGGGAATGAGATGGGAGTGCATCTCAGGGGTGAGGCTCAATGTCTATTCAGGCCTGAGGGCATTAACGTGGATATGATTTTAGTATGTGAGCAACAGCTCAAAAACAGGGATTCAGTTGTGGAAGGAGACTACTAACATCCTCAGAAATGAACCAGAACTTCAGGTGACTAGGGATAGTGGTGGTGAACTCTGCCAAGACACCAGGGAGCCCTGGGTGTAAGAAGAAACCCCAGATGCTCATGATCCTTGGCTGAATGGTCCAGATAGGCAGACAGGCTCCCCTGTGGGGCAGATTTTGGAAGCGTCAATGCAATCCTGTCCTTGAAACTGAAAAGCTTTTACACTCCGTATTAATTTGCTATGGGTGCCATAACAAATTACCACAAAATCGGTGGCTTGAAACAACAGAAATGTGTCCTCTCAGTCCTGGGGTCAGGAGTCTGGAATCAAGGCATTGGCAGGGCCATGCTTTCTCTGGAGGCTCTGGAGCACAGCCCTTTGCCTCCTGCAGGCTCCAGTGGCTCTCGGAGTTCTTTGTAGCTGTGTCACTCCAATGTCTGCTTCTATCTTACCTGCCCTTCTTCACTTCTCCCGGTGCATTTTTCTGCTTTTATTTCTCATAAGGACACTTGTCATTGGATTCAGTGTCCCCCTGATCATCCCGGATGATGTCTTAAGATTCTGAATTATATCTGCAAAGACCTTTTTCTAAATGAGATTATGTTCACAAGTTCTGGGGTTTAAGACCCAGAGATCCTTTTGGGGGTATCTCTGGTCTGTGCACTATACATTCCAAGGGATATTGTCTAAGCCTCACTGTTGTTTGGCCAGTCATCTTGCTATCCAATCTTTGGGGCCATAGCTTCTAGGGAGGGGCAGGTAACCTAGGAGGGAAAGATGGAGATTGGGAGAACAATGAATAAGTAAAATCCAGAATGATGCAAATTCCTAGTTCTGCAAATTTCTAAAAGTGTGAACACATGGGGACAATCCCAGAGGGAGCAGATAAACATGAGTGTGTTGTTATGTTAGGGAGGTGGAATTATGAATGTTTTCTACATTTCAAAATTTTCCTACTGTTGCTACATTGCCATTGATTTCAATAATAAAGCACATTGAAACTGATCTTTTTAATGAATAAAAGAAATTGCAGCTTATGGCACTGAATGAATGTAGGCTCTGGGCAGTGGGCCTGTGTGCTTTTGAAATGGAATGCCCTAGAGGCTTGGGAAAAGCACATGAGCTGGAAGAATAAGGCGCCAGCTTTTCAGAGTGGGGAGAAGTGACTTCTCCCTTTGAGCTGCCTTTTGCTGTTCACAGCCTTTGCCTTAGATTGCAACCTGCAGGAACCTGGTTTAGCATCCGATATCTGCCATTCCCTCCTAACCCTTGACTTGTCACAGTTCTTCCGGATTTTAGAAAACAAGATGAAGATTGCATACTTTATATATGCAAGTTTTTATATTTTATATACACAAGGTTCATATGCAATGCAGTTTCAAAGGTATGCATATTTAGTATGCTGTTTTCCTGCATACCTAAACAAAGCCTAGAGTCTCAGAGTTAATTTTTTAAAAATGACTTGATAACTTGTTTTCTGCCATTAACAAGAGAGTATGCAGAGATAAATTAATTGAAGTGTTCCCTGAGCACGTAAAGTGCTTAGGTAAAGATGGTATCCTTGCAGCATGGCTATTTAACTGGGTATGTGTGTTTTTAATGAATTGTTGAAAGGAATTCGAAGTCAGGTATATTTGTGTATGTGTGTGTGTGTGTGTGTCTGTGTGTGTGTATGTGTGTGTACATGTGCAGTATAATAAGAAAGGATTCCTTTTAAAGTAGAAACATTGACCTCTCAAACCTAAGGATTCCTAGAAAAGCCTGAGACCTTGTCCCTGAGAAGCCCAGACCTGAAGGCTGCTATCATCTACAATGTATCAATGGCCTGAGAAAATGGTAAAGATTTGGGCCCAACAGGACTACAAAATTAAAAAAAAATTAATCAGAAAAACCTGGTTAAAGGGAATGTATCAGGGTTTTCCAGAGAGGCAGACTCAAAGGATTTATCTATCTATCTGAGAGGGGATTTATTAAAGGAATTGGTTCATGCCATTGTGGAA